GGCTGGTCTTGAACTCCTGAGTTTACGAAATCCACCCACCTCAGCCTCCCATAGTGCTGGGATTACAAGTGTAAGCCACTGTGCCTGGCCCTATATGATAGAATTCTACATGATGTACTACTGTACATTACTTCCAAAGTTCACATTGGTAGTTTGAAATCAGCAATGGTAGAAATATTTATACCATAAAGATTAGCAAACGCTATCAGTCAGCTTCCTGCCACTCCAAAGCCAGGTGTTAATCTTTTACCAACAACACAACATTGTTTCAGAGACAGTACCATTCTGTCTGTCTTGCCATCTAGCTCCACTGTCAGACTCTACTCTGGTCTTCAGCTCCAGATTTGCATTCCTGGAAGAGAGAAACCAAGAGTTGAATCATTACTTTAAAATGTATGAGATACTAATCTGGACCCTGTGGCTCACTCCTATAATCCAGCACTTTGGGAGGCTGAAGCAGGAAGATCCTTTAAAGCCAGGAGTTTGAAGTTAGCTATGATCTCAGCCCTGCATTCCAGCCCCGGTGACAGAGGGAGACCCTATACTGAATAAAACCAGGCCAGGTTCAGAACCTGTAGCTCAGAGGCTAGGGCACCAACCACATACACCCGAGCTGGTGGGTTTGAATCCAGCCTGAACCTGCCAAACAACAATGACAACTAGAAACAAAAAATAGCTGGGTGTTGTGGTGGGTGCCTATAGTCCCACCTAGTTGGGAGGCTAAGGCAAGAGAATTGCTTAAGCCCAAGAGTTGGAGGTTGCGGTGAACTGTGACACCAAGGCACTCTACCCAGGGCAACAGCTTGAGACTCTTGTCTCAAAAAAAAAAAAAACCACAGGCCAGGCATGGTGGCTCATGCCAGTAAAACCAGCACTCTGTGAGGCTGAGGCAGGTGCATTGCTGAGCTCAGGAGTTCAAAACCTTGTCTCTACTAAAAATAGGAAAAACAAAAAACTAGCTGGGGGTAGTGGCACATACCTGTAGTTCCAGCAACTTAGGAGGCAGAGGCAAGAGGAGTTTTGAGGTTGCTACGAGCTATGACACCACAGCACTCTAACCAGGGTGACAGAGTGAAACTCTGTCTCAAAAAAATAAAATTAACTAAATAAATAAAAAACAAGACAAAACAACTAATGAGATAGTAGAGCCCAGGTTAAGGAAACTGATGCACAGATCAGCTAGAAATTATCTGATGATTTGCAGACTCAGAGTGAAGGCCTTTGGTTAGTCCAGCAAAGGAGTTTTTTTGTAGACAGACCCAAAGGACTCTGAAGAAGGCATTGGTTATTTTCTAGGAATCTATATTAAAGGTCTATCTGATGGTCAATTTCAGGATTCAAAGATGTATAAGATGATTCTTATGCTCACAGCTGAGGAAGAAAAGATTTCCAGCCTACAATCACTTCTGGTACTAACAAATTCTGTAAATCTTAAAATTAGGATTACAACATGCAAAAGAATCTTTAGGAGTCAATTTCCAATATTTTTTCTACTCCCTCACTTTACAGATGAGGAAACTGAGTCCACATGGCGGTAAATAGCTTGTCCAAGGCCCTACAACAAATTAGTCCCCAAAGCCCAGGCCTCCTGATACTTGGAGCAGAGGACTTTTCTTAAATTCTCAATTTCATTTATAGAAACTATAAGTAAACTCTTTAGAGAATCTGAGCAGGAACAAACACAGTTCACACACCAAAAAAAAACCTCACTACTTTCCTTTCAAAACTTCCTAGAAAATAAAAGCATATTTTTTAGAGCATACCAACAAAATGCCAGGTGCTATGGGGGACACAAAAGGATAAGACAAAATCACTCATACACAGGAAGTGAATGTGGAGTCACTCCTAAAATTCTTTCCAGGGGGCAGGGGGATACCTCAGGGATATCCCACTAGCCCTGTTCTGACCTCCACAGTGAGTGACATGGAAATCAACCCTGCTGCTGTCCCAAGTAGTGAAAGTTAAACATTAGATTCTTTTTTTTTTTTTGAGACAGAGTCTTACTCTATTACACTGGGTAGATTGCCATGGTGTCATAGCTCACAGCAACCTCAGTCTTTTGGGCTCAAGAAATCCTCCTTCCTTAGCCATCACAACATCCAGCTAATTTTTCTATTTTTAGTAGAGACAGAGTCTCACTCTTATTCAGGCTGGTCTCTAACTCCTGAGCTCAAGCTATCCACCCACCTTGGCCTCCTAGATTGCTGGGATTATGGGCATAAGGCACCACAATTGGCCTAAATATTAGATTCCTGAATGGGAAAAGTAGGAGAGAGAGAAAATGCTACTGAGGCAAACTCAGTGGGCCTTTCCTAAGCCTCTCAAGTCTGGGACACCTCTTCCTCAAGCAGAGAACCCCACAAGCAAACAGAGCTAGAGAGCTTGCCCAGACTGGGAGGCAGACCATTAGACCATTAAGATGTTTTGTATTGGCTCGGCACCTGTGGCTCAAGTGGCTAAGGCGCCAGCCACATACACCTAAGGTGGCAGGTTCGAATCCAGCCTGGGCCCGGCAAACAACAATGACAACTGCAACCAAAAAATAGCCGGGCATTGTTGCAGGCACCAGTGGTCGCAGCTACTTGGGAGGCTGAGGCAGGAGACTCACTTGAGCCCAGGAGTTGGAGGTTGCTGTGAGCTGTGATGCCATGGGACTCTACCCAGGGGGACAGCTTGAGGCTCTGTCTCAAAAAAAAAAAAAATCTTTTGTATCGATTCTTCTAGGAAAAATGAAACCTGAGGCTCGGCGCCTGTGGCTCAATTGGCTAAGGC